CGCCCGCCGCTGCCCGCCCCGCCCGCTCCGCCGCCATCGCGGCCCGGCCGCCGCTCCCCGCCTGCTCCCTCCCTCGGCCGCGGGCAGGAGGGGCCGCCCGGGGCCTGGCGGCCGCGGAGAGGTGAGCGGGGTGCGCCGGCAGCGGGCGGGGAGGGACGGGCGGGCTGCCTTCCTGCCTCGCCGCCTGTCTGCCGGTCTCCTTCTCCCATCTCCCTCTGTTTCTCTGTCTCCTTCTTCCCTTCCTCCCTCCCTTTCCCTTCTCTTTCAGTCCCTTCTTTCCTCTTCCTTCCTGTCTCACCCTCCCTCTGCCGTTCTTCTCCCTCCGTTTTCCTCTCTCTTTCCTTCTTTCCCTTCTCTTTCAGTCCCTCCTTTCCTCGGCTGCTTTCCTGTCTCCCCTCCCTCTTGGCTGTTCTCCTTCTCTCCTTTCCCCGTTTCCTTCTGTTTCTCCTTCGTCCATAATTTTTCCCTCTTCTGTTTCTCCCTCTCCTTCCTCCCTCCTTTTCCACCTTTCCCCTCCCTCTCATTCCCTCCTTTCCTTTTCCCTTTTCCTTTCAGTTCCTCCCTCTTTACCTCTCCCTTTCCCCCTTTCTTCCCTTTTCTCCTTATTTTTCCCCTTTTCTCCTCTCCCTTTCAGTTCCTCTTTCCCTTTTTCCCCTCCCTCTCTCCATTTCCTCTATTCCTCTCCTTTTTATTCCCCCTTTTCTCCCCTTTGTCCCTCCTTTTTCCCCTTTTTTCCCCCCTTTTCCCATGATTCTCTCTCCTTAAAATTTCAAATAATTTAAATTAAATCCAAATAATTAAATTTATATCTCAAATACAACCCATAAAATAAAATCCCCTGGGATTTTATCATTAAGGTTTTCCATGATTCTTGCTCCTTAAATGTCAAAATAATTCAATTCCCACCTTGCACACAGCTCATAAAGTGGATTTTTAAGGACCTGGAGGAGCTCTGTGCTTACTGAGGGTGCACTAATGAATTGTAAGGAGTTAATTAAATTGTAATTAAGGGTTTTTTAACCAGATGAGCAGCAGCAGCAATAAGAGGGCCCCCACCACAGCCACGCAGAGGCTGAAGCAGGATTACCTGAGGATCAAAAAGGATCCAGTGCCTTACATCTGTGCTGAGCCCCTGCCCTCCAACATCCTGGAATGGTGGGCATGGGGATGGGACATGGAGAGGGGAATTGGGGTGGGAATTGGGAAATGGGGATGGGAATTGGGATAGGAATTGGGGGTGGGAATAGAAATGGGAGTGGGAAGTGGGGATGGGAAATGGGGATTGGAAATCAGGATGGGAATGGGAATTGGGGTAGGAATTTGGGATGGGAATAGAATTGGGAGTGGGAAGTGGGAGTGGGAAGTGGGAACTGGGGATGGGAGTGGGAATTGGGAAATGGGGATGGGAATTGGGATAGGAATTGGGGTGGGAATATGGGAATGGGAAATGGAGAGGGGAACTGGGGATGGGAATTTGGGAATGGGAAATGGAGAGGGGAATTGGGGTGGGAATTTGGAATGGGAATTGGGGGTGGGAATAGAAATGGGAGTGGGAAGTGGGGATGGGAAATGGGGATTGGAAATCAGGATGGGAATGGGAATTGGGGTAGGAATTTGGGATGGGAATAGAAATGGGAGTGGGAAGTGGGAACTGGGGATGGGAGTGGGAATTGGGAAATGGGAATGGGAAATGGAGAGGGGAACTGGGGATGGCAATTTGGGAATGGGAAATGGAGAGGGGAATTGGGGATGGGAATTTGGGAATGGGAAATGGAGAGGGGAATTGGGGATGGGAATTTGGGAATGGGAAATGGAGAGGGGAATTGGGGTGGGAATTTGGAATGGGAATTGGGGGTGGGAATAGAAATGGGAGTGGGAAGTGGGGATGGGAAATGGGGATTGGAAATCAGGATGGGGATGGGAATTGGGGTAGGAATTTGGGATGGGAATAGAAATGGGAGTGGGAATTGGGAGTGGGAAGTGGGAACTGGGGATGGGAGTGGGAATTGGGAAATGGGGATGGGAATAGAAATGGGAATGGGAATTGAAATGGGAATTGAGAATTGGGAATTGGGGTAGGAATTGGGGATGGGAATAGAAATGGGAATTGGGAATGGAAATTGAGAATTGGGGGTGGAAATGGGGATGGGGAATAGAAATTGGGGATGTGGATTAGGGTAGGAATTGAGGGTGGGGGTGGGAATGGGGATTGGAGGTGGAGAATTGGGATGGAAACTGGGGAGGGAATGTGGGTGGGAGCAGGGGATGGAGAAGTGGGGTGAGAGCTGTGGGATTGGGGATGGGGAACTGGAGCTGGAGGTGGAGAATTGAGATGGGAGTTGGGGATGGGAATTGGGAATTGGGGTGCACTGTCCCTCTCTCCTGGAGAAGGGTTCCCAGCCTGTCAGGTCTCTCTCCCTCTCCTGGCTGAGGGGGAAGCTCTGCCTGAGGCTGATCCTGATGTTCTGGGGTGTTTGTGGTTTCCCAGTGTTGCATCCCCTCTTTTCCAGGCACTACGTGGTGCGAGGGCCCGAGCTGACCCCATATGAAGGTAAATCCCTGCCTGGGGGTTTGCATGGACATTCAGGAATTCCAGGGGCTGGGAAAAGGCAAAATAATCCACTAAAAACAGCTCCAAAAACTGGGAAAGAGGTGGAGAAAGGGGGATGCTGCGGTCAATCATTCTTCTCTTGTGATTAAGAGAATCCCACTCAAGAGTGGGAATTATTTATATATAAATTTAAATATATTTAAATATAATTCAATATGTATTTAATAAATTTATTTAACCTATTTTGGAGAAGGAATAAAGCAGGCTAATTGGGGATGGGAATTTGAATTGCGGTGCGAATTATTAATTAAATATAATTTATTTAACCCATTTAGGTGGTTTGGAAGAAGGAATAAAGCAGGGAAATTGAGGATGGGGATTTTTTATTAAATACAACCCATCCAACCCATTTTTGGCTGGTTTGCAGGTGGATATTACCACGGAAAATTAATATTCCCTCGAGAATTCCCTTTCAAACCCCCCAGTATTTATATGATCACCCCCAATGGAAGGTTCAAGTGCAACACAAGGTAAGGACTCCTTGCCAGCATTCCCATCCCAAATCCAGGGCTCCTTCCCAGCATTCCCATCCCAAATCCAGGGCTCCTTCCCAGCATTCCCATCCCAAATCCAGGGCTCCTAGCCAGCATTCCCATCCCAAATCCAGGGCTCCTTCCCAGCATTCCCATCCCAAATCCAGGGCTCCTTCCCAGCATTCCCATCCCAAATCCAGGAGTCATTCCCAACACTCCAGCCATTCCCATCCCAGCCATTCCCATCCCAAATCCAGGACTCCTTCCCAACATTCCCATCCCAAATCAAGGACTCCGTCCCAATGTTCCCATTCCAGCAATTCCCATCCCGAACCAAGAACTCTTCCCCAGCATTGCAGCCATTCCCATCCCAGCTGAGTCCCATCCCAAATCCAGACCCCTTCCCACCATCCCAGCCCTTCCCACCATCCCAGCCCTTCCCACCATCCCAGCCCTTCCCACCATCCCAGCCCTTCCCACCATCCCAGCCCTTCCCATCATCCCAGCCATTCCCATCCCAAATCCAGGACTCCTTCCCAGCATCCCAGCCATTCCTGTCCCAAATCAAGGACTCCGTCCCAACATTCCCATTCCAGTAATTCCCATCCCAAACTGAGAACTCTTCCCCACCATCCCAGCCCTTCCCCCCATCCCAGCCCTCCCCAGCCCGTTCCCATTCCCGCTTTTCCCGTGGGGCAGGTTGTGTCTGTCCATCACGGATTTCCACCCGGACACCTGGAACCCGGCCTGGTCGGTGTCCACCATCCTGACGGGGCTGCTCAGCTTCATGGTGGAGAAGGGGCCCACCCTGGGCAGCATCGAGACCTCCGAGTTCACCGTGAGTCAGCGGGGCATCCTGGGGATCCTGGGGGGTCGGGGGATCCCAGGGGATCGGGGGGATCCCGGGGGATCCCGGGGGATCGGGGCATCCCAGGAAATCCCACACGTCCCTGGGCCAAGCCGGGGCCTTTCCTGGCCTTGATCCCACAGGGTCAGAAATGAACATAATCCGTGTCTAGAAACATTCATCACACTGGAAAATACTCACTTTTAAGAGCTACAAACCACTTGGGGAGCTTTGGGAATTTGGGATGTCTCAGGGACAAAGCCTGGTTGGGATTTGATTCCCTTTTTTTTCTTTGACCTTGATCCCACAGGATCAAAAATGAACATAATTCGTGGCAAGAAACATCAGTTCTAGTGGAAAGTGCTCGATTTTAAGAGCTACAAACCACTTGGGGAGCTTTGGGAATTTGGGATGTCTCAGGGACAAAGCCTGGTTTGGATATGCTTCCCTTTTTTTTTCTTTGACCTTGATCCCACAGGATCAAAAATGAACATAATTCGTGGCAAGAAACATCAGTTCTAGTGGAAAGTGCTCGATTTTAAGAGCTACAAACCACTTGGGGAGCTTTGGGAATTTGGAAAACTTTGGGAATTTATGATATCTCAGGGACAAAGCCTGGTGGGGATTTGATTCCCTTTTTTTCCCTTGACCTTGATCCCACAGGATCAAAAATTAACGTAATTCATGGCAAGAAACATCAGTTCTAGTGGGAAGTGCTCGGTTTTAAGAGCTACAAACCACTTGGGAAGCTTTGGGAATTTGGGATGTCTCGAGGATAAAGCCTGGCTGGGATTTGGTTCCTTTTTTTTCCTTGACTGTGATCACACAGGATCAACAAAATACCAATTTTAGTGAAAAATTCCTCACAAATTTGATGTTTTAAGTGTTGGAAGCCATTTGGGAAGCTTTGGGAATTTAGGATAGCTCAGGGACAAAGCCTGGCTGGGATTTGGTTCCTTTTTTTTCCTTGACCTTGATCCCACATGATCAAAAATTAACACAATTTGTGTCTATGAACATTAATCTCAGTGGAAAATAATCTGTTTTTCCTCCCAGAAAAGGCAGCTGGCTGCACAGAGCTTAGCGTTTAACTTAAAGGATAAAGTCTTCTGTGAGCTCTTCCCTGAGGTGGTGGAGGTAAGGAATCTTCATTAATTAGCCATTTTTCAGTTCCAGAACTCCCTCTCTGCCTCTCCCCAGATTCCACTCTCCCATGCAGGAAATCAAACAAAAAACACCCAAATCACCCCAATTTCCATTGGACTTTTTGTTCCCCCATGCAGGAACTCAACCAAAAGCCCCCAGATCACCCCAATTTCCTCTCCTCTTTTCCAGGAACTCAAACAAAAGCCCCGAAATCCCCCCAAATTCCTCTCCCCTTTTCCAGGAAATGAAGCAAAAGCCCCCAAATCACCCCAATTCCTCTCCCCATTTCCAGGAGATGAAGCAGAAGCAGAAAGCCCAGGACGAGCTGAGCTCCAGACCCCTGTCCCTGCCCCTCCCCAAATTCCACTTTCCCATATAGGAAATCAAACAAAACACCCAAATCACCCCAATTTCCTGTCCCCATTTCCAGGAAATCACCCAAAAGCCCCCAAATCCCCCCAATTTCCTGTCCCCATTTCCAGGAAATGAAGCAAAACCACCCAAATCACCCATATAGGAAATCACCCAAAAGCCCCCCAATCACCCCAATTCCCTATCCCCATTTCCAGGAAATCACCCAAAAGCCCCCCAATCCCCCCAATTTCCTGTCCCCATTTCCAGGTAATCACCCAAAAGCCCCCCAATCACCCCAATTCCCTCTCCCCATTTCCAGGAAATCACCCAAAAGCCCCCCAATCACCCCAATTCCTGTCCCCATTTCCAGGAGATGAAGCAGAAGCAGAAAGCCCAGGACGAGCTGAGCTCCAGACCCCCCTCCCTGCCCCTGCCCGACGTGGTGCCCGACGGGGACGCGCACCTGGGGCACAACGGGCACCCGCTGCTGCACGGGCACGGGGCCCTGGCGCCCGGGCACGCCGGGGGGCTGCAGCAGCCCCCCCGGAACCACGGACTCTTGGGGGGAGCCCTGGCGAACTTGTTTGTCATCGTGGGCTTCGCCGCCTTCGCCTACACAGTCAAGTACGTGCTGAGGAGCATAGCCCAGGAGTGAAGTCCTGCCAGACCAAGTTCTAGTGGGGTTTGGGGTGCTCGGGGCTCTGCGGGGGGATTTTGGGGCTTGGCCCTGCCTGGGGCTCTTCGGGGAACCGTTTTGGTTTGTAGAGTTCTCCTCCATCCGTGGTTTGAGCAGTGAAGATCTTCAGAACATTTTGACTCCGTTGGGTTTTCAACTCAGGATGAGTGAACTCTGTGGAATGGGACTTTTGGGATTGCACAATTGGGGTGGAAGATTTGGGGTTTTTGCCCTGCCTGGGTCATGTTGGAATTTTGGGTTGGGAAGCCCAAGCATTGTGGGGGAGCCACGTTGGTTTGTAGAGTTCTCCTCCAGCTGTGGTTGAACATTGAAGATCTTCAGCAAATTTTTATTCTCTTGAGTTTTCATTCAGGATGAGTGGGGCCCTTAGGAATGGCACTCTTGGGGTGGAAGATTTGGGGTTTTTGCCCTGCCTGGGTCGTGTTGGAATTTTGGGTTGGGAAGCCCAGGCATTGTGGGGGAGCCACGTTGGTTTGTAGAGTTCTCCTCCAGCTGTGGTTGAACATTGAAGATCTTCAGCAAATTTTGACTCTGTTGAGTTTTCATTCAGGATGAGTGGGGCCCTTTGGGATGGGACAATTGGGGTGGAAGATTTGGGGTTTTTGCCCTTCCTGAGTTCTCAGGAGGTTTTGGGTTTTGCTGCTGGTGAGAAGTCAAATTTGTTGGTTTTATTGTCCCAAAAATTGGTTTTATTGTCCCAAAAATGGGATTTATTGTCCCAAAAATTGGTTTTATTGTCCCAAAAATGGGATTTATTGTCCCTAAAATGGGGTTTTGAGTCCCAAAAATGGGTGTTTGTGTCCCAAAAATGGTTTTTTTAGTCCCAAAAATGGGGGTTTGTGTCCCAAAAATTGGTTTTATTGTCCCTAAAATGGGGGTTTGAGTCCCAAAAATGGTTTCATTGTCCCAAAATTCAGCTTTTTGGGCTCTGGTTGGAGGGAGCAGCACCTGGGGAGGGAAAAATTCCAATTTTGGGGTGGGAATAACAAAGGAGCTCCTGCAGAGGGTCAGAGGTCAGACCCCAAATTTGGCTCCATTTAATTCAAGTTTTGCTTCAATTCTTCTTAAAACCCCAAAATTCCTTTGGAATTCCAGAAATATTTTGCCCCAAATCCCAAAATTCCTTTGGGATTCATCTCCTGAACTAAAAATTTAAATTTTATTCAATTCTTTAAAACCCCAACCCCATTTTTTGTTGTTTTTCCCTAAAAATTGGTTGCATTTAAACCCCAAAATTCCAATTTTTTGGGAATTTCTTGGATTTGGAGGAAGTTTTGTGGGATCCCTGTGGATTCCACGATTTGGGATTGAATTTTTATTCCCATTTTTTTGGGGGTTGTTTGGTGTTTTCCTGGGAATTCAGCTTTTCCTTTTCCCCCAAAAAAACCCAGAAAAATAAAATTTCAACCTCTCCCTCAGGATAAAATCTTGGAATAAACCCTTGAAATCCCAGGCTGCAATTCCATGGATTTCAAAGTTTGGGAATTTTCCCACAGAATCTTCATTTTTAATAAAAATCCTGGATTTTTTTTTTTATTTTTCCCTTTTTCCTGAAGATTCCAAGCTCAGAGGATGGAAAGGCTGCGTTGTAAAGAGATTTATTCCTAATAAAAATCCATCCAAAATCGACTTTGTGGGGCTTTTGTTTGGGAATGAAATTCCATGGGGGAAAAACGGGATTGGGGAATTTCAGTTCATGAATAAAATGGTGAAAAATTTTCATTTTTCCTGATTTTTTCCCTTTTGCAGTCGGATTTTCCAGCTTCCCTTGGATCTCTCAGTTTTTCCTTCAAAATTCCAATAATTCCTTGAAATTTTGGGATTTCTTTGGAGCAATCCTGCTGATAATTAATCCTTTTAATTAATATTAAATTATAATATTATAAATATAATTTTATATAATTGCAGTATATATTATTTCTTTATAAATATAATTTATAAAGTATTAATGACATTTTACTATTCAATTTCATTTAGAATTACATGTCATTTATAATTACCGGTGATTAGCGATTAATTAAGCATTAATTATTAATTAATCATTAATCAGGGAGATTAATCCTGCCATTTTCCTGGAAAAAACTGGATTTTTAAAGGAGGAAACTCCCATTTCCAGCAGAAAAATCACCCCAAAAAAAAGGAATTAATTCCATAAAAACTCCCAAAATTCCCAAATTCCTGGAATTTCTTTTGGGAATGAGGACGGCTCATTAGGATTAATTAGGAATTCTTCATTAGCGCCGGGAGCTTTGCCCTGCCGGGTTATTTCCCTTTTGCAGAGGGAGAAATGTGGGAATTTTTCCCCATTTTTCCGGGGATTTGGGGTTTTTTGGGATCGGCCACGAGGGGGCGCCGCGGGGCCGGGAATTGGGGCTGGAGCCGGGATTGGGGAGTCCTGAGCTGGGGATGGTCCCAAAAACCCCAAAATCCCAAAAATCCCAAAATTCCTCCTGGGATTTGGGGAGTCCTGAGCTGGGGATGGTCCCAAAAACCCCAAAATCCCAAAAATCCCAAAATTCCACCTGGGATTTGGGGAGTCCTGAGCTGGGGATGGTCAAAAATCCCAAAAATCCCAAAATTCCACCTGGGATTTGGGGAGTCCTGAGCTGGGGATGGTCCGAAGAACCCCAAAATCCCAAAATTCCTCCTGGGATTTGGGGAGTCCTGAGCTGGGGATGGTCCCAAAAATCCCAAAATCCCAGAAATCCCAAATCCCAAAATCCCAGAAATCCCAAATCCCAAAATCCCAGAAATCCCAAATCCCAAAATCCCAGAAATCCCAAATCCCAAAATCCCAGAAATCCCAAATCCCAAAATCCCAGAAATCCCAAATCCCAAAATCCCAGAAATCCCAAATCCCAAAATCCCAGAAATCCCAAATCCCAAAATCCCAGAAATCCCAAATCCCAAAATCCCAGAAATCCCAAATCCCAAAATCCCAGAAATCCCAAATCCCAAAATCCCAGAAATCCCAAATCCCAAAATCCCAGAAATCCCAAATCCCAAAATCCCAGAAATCCCAAATCCCAAAATCCCAAAATTCCACCTGGGATTGGGGTATCCTGAGCTGGGGATGGTCCCAAAAATCCCAAAATCCCAGAAATCCCAAATCCCAGAAACCCAAAAACCCCAAAATCCCAAAATTCCACCTGGGATTGGGGAATCCTGAGCTGGGGATGGTCCCAAAAATCCCAAAATCCCAAAAATCCCAAATCCCAAAATCCCACCCCGGGGGTGGCTCTGGGAATGTGGGAATTCCCTGGGGAAGATTTTATGGGACTAAAATTGGGAAAAGGATTTTTGGGATGATCCCAAAGATTTGGGGATTTTGGGGGGGGGGGGGGGATTTTTTTGGGGGTACCCAAAAAGTTGGGGGGTTTTGGGGGGGGGGGGGATTTTTGGGATTTTCCCAAATTTGAGAAGAGGATTTCTGGGATGATCTCCAAGCCCTCCAAAAAGGATTTCTGGGACGATCCCAAAACTGGGAAAGGGATTTCTGGGATTTTCCCAAAATCATGGAAAAAACCCCTGGATTCTCCTGGGAAAAACTCCAAAAAAAACCCTGATTTTCCTGGGATAAAATCCCAATAAAACCCCTGATTTTCCTGGGATAAAATCCCAATAAAAACCCTGATTTTCCTGGGATAAAATCCCAATAAAACCCCTGATTTTCCTGGGATAAAATCCCAATAAAAACCCTGATTTTCCTGGAATAAACCCCCCCAAAAAATCTGATTTTCCTGGGATAAATCCCAAATAAAAAGCGCCTTCAGCTCCTCCTTTTTTCCCTTTATTTTATTTTTTCCCTGTTTTTTTCCTCCTCCTTTTTCCCTTTATTTTTTTTCTCTGTTTTTTCATCCCCTCCTTTTTTCCCTTTATTTTTTCCCTGGTTTTTTCCCTCCTCCTTTTTTCCCCAGTTTTTTCCAGCCCCTCCTTTCCCCTTTATTTTTTTCTTTTTTCCCCGTTTTTTTTCCTGCTCCTTTTTTCCCTTTTTTCTTTCCCTTTTTCTTTCAGCCTCTCCTTTTTCCCTTTATTTTTTTTCCCTGGTTTTTTCCCTCCTCCTTTTTTCCCTTTTTTCTTTCCCTTTTTCTTTCAGCCTCTCCTTTTTCCCTTTATTTTTTTTCCCTGGTTTTTTCCCTCCTCCTTTTTTCCCTTTTTTTTCCCGGTGTTTTTTCCAGCCCCTCCTTTTTTCCCTTTATTTTTTCCCCTGTTTTTTTTTCCTTGTCCTTTTCCCCTTTTTTATTTTTTTCCCTGTTTTTTCAGCCCCTCCTTTCCCCTTTATTTTTTTAATTTTTTCCCTGTTTTTTCCTCCTCTTTTTTTCCCTGATTTTTTTAGAATTGATGTCAAACTTAAGGAGGCTAATTTTAAAGAAATTGATTTATTTTATGAGTGGTGATTTGGCTTTTTTTGGTTTTTTTTTTTAAGTTCCAGCCCCTCCTTTTTTCCCATTTATTTTTTTAATTTTTTTTCCCCGTTTTTTTCCCTCCTCCCTCTCCCGGAGTCGATGGAAGCTCCTCCGCGGGGCCGCGGCTGCAGCGGGAATTCCGCCGGGAATTCGGGATTTGGGGTCGGGAATTCGGGATTTGGGGTCGGGATGGGGATGGTCGCGGGGCCGCGGCTTTGGGGCTTTTGGGGTTTTTGGGGTTTTTAGAGGGAAAAACTGGGAAAAAAAAGGAGGAAAAACTTTGGGAAACTCCACCTGCTCCTGCCGGGCTCGGGGCTGCGCTTCAACCCCGGAGCTTTGGGGTTTGGGGTTTGGGGTGTGGAGGATTTGGGGTTTGGGTTTTGGGGTTTGGGGTGTGGAGGATTTGGGGTTTGGGTTTTGGGGTTTGGGGTTTGGGGTTTGTTTTTTGGGGTGTGAAGGATTTGGGGTTTGGTTTTTGGGGTTTGGGGTGTGGAGGATTTGGGGTTTGGGTTTTGGGGTTTGGGTTTTGGGGTTTGGTTTTTTGGATTTCTTTTTTGGGATTTGTTATTTGGGATTTGGGGTTTGGTTTTGGGGGTTTGGGGTGTGAAGGGTTTGGGGTTTGGGGTTTGGTTTTTGGGGGTTTGAGATTTGAGGTTTTGGGATTTGGTTTTGGGTTTTGGAAATTTTTTGGGGGGGGTTGGGATGTGAGATTTGGGATTTGTGTTTAGGGATTTGTTTTTTGGAGTGTGAGGGGTTTGGGGGTTGGAATTGGGATTGGTTTTTGGGGTTTGGTTTTTGGGTTTGGTTTTGGGGATGTAAGGAATTGGGGGTTTAGGATTTTTTTTTGGGGGGTGTGAGGGATTTAAGTTTTGGCATTCATTTTTTGGGGTTTGCTTTTATGGGAGGTAAGGAATTTGGGGTTTGGGATTTGTTTTTTGGGATGTGAGAGGTTTGTTTTTTGGGATTTGTTTTTTGGGGTTTGTTTTTTGGGATGTCAGGGATTTAAGGTTTGGGATTTGCTTTTTGGGGCGTGACATTGTTTTTTGGGATTTGTTTCTTGAGGTGTGAGGAATTCTTTTGGGGTGTGGGGAATCTTTTTGGGACGTGAAGGATCTGCTTTTTGGGATCGATTCTTTTGGGGTGTGAGGGAATTTTTTTGGGATGTGAGGGATCTGGTTTTTGGGATCTGGTTTTTTTGGGGGAATCTGGTTTTTTGGGATTTGTTTTTGGGATCTGGTTTTTTGGATCTGGTTTTTTTGGGGGGGGATTCTGGGTTTTTTGATCTGTTTTTTTGGGATCTGGTTTTTTTTTTTGGATCTGTTTTTGAGGATCTGTTTTTGGGGATCTGTTTTTTGGGATCTGTTTTTTTTGGGGTCTGGTTTTGGGATCTGTTTTTTTGGATCTTTTTTTGGGATCTGTTTTTGGGGATCTGTTTTTTGGGATCTGTTTTTTTTGGGGGGGTCTGTTTTTGGGATCTGTTTTTGGGATCTGTTTTTTGGATCTTTTTTGGGATCTGTTTTTGGGGATCTGTTTTTTTGGATCTTTTTTTGGGATCTGTTTTTGGGGATCTGTTTTTTGGGATCTGTTTTTTTGGGGTCTGTTTTTGGGGTCTGTTTTTGGGATCTGTTTTTGGGATCTGTTTTTGGGGTCTGTTTTTGGGGTGTGCGGATTTTTGGGGTTCTGTCCCTCCGGGCCGGGCTGCGCTGCCGCCCGTTCCCCGGATTCCGCTCCCTGCAGAAATCCCAGGATTTCTCCCGGGAGCGGCCGGGCCGGACTCGGGCTCCGAGCCGAGCCTGGCTAAGCCCCGCCTGAGCCGGGCTCAGCTCCGCCCTGCAGCTTCCAGCACCTTTAAAACCAGTTTTAAACCCCACCTGGGGGGGGGGATCTGTTTTTGGGGATCTGTTTTTTGGGATCTGTTTTTTTTGGGGGGGTCTGTTTTTGGGATCTGTTTTTGGGATCTGTTTTTTGGATCTTTTTTGGGATCTGTTTTTGGGGATCTGTTTTTTTGGATCTTTTTTTGGGATCTGTTTTTGGGGATCTGTTTTTTGGGATCTGTTTTTTTGGGGTCTGTTTTTGGGATCTGTTTTTGGGATCTGTTTTTGGGGTGTGCGGATTTTTGGGGTTCTGTCCCTCCGGGCCGGGCTGCGGTGCCGCCCGTTCCCCGGATTCCGCTCCCTGCAGAAATCCCAGGATTTCTCCCGGGAGCGGCCGGGCCGGACTCGGGCTCCGAGCCGAGCCTGGCTAAGCCCCGCCTGAGCCGGGCTCAGCTCCGCCCTGCAGCTTCCAGCACCTTTAAAACCAGTTTTAAACCCCACCTGGGGGGGCTGAGAGCCTTTAAAACCGGCTTCAAACCCCAGTTCGGGGGGCAGAGTAAAACCGGTTTTAAATCCGATTTGGGATCAGAAAGGGCTGAGTAAAACCAGTTTTAATCTGGATTTTAGGGGCACTGAGTGCCTTTAAAACCAGTTTTAGGCTGGATTTAGGGGGCAGAGTAAAACCGGTTTTAAATCCGATTTGGGATCAGAAAGGGCTGAGTAAAACCAGTTTCAAACTGGATTAAGGGGGTCAGAAGGGGCAGAGTAAAACCAGTTTTAATCTCAATTTTGGGGCTCTGAGTGCCTTTAAAACCAGTTTTAGGCTGGATTTAGGGGGCAGAGTAAAACCATTTTCAAGCCCTATTTGGGGTGCAGAGTAAAACCAGTTTTAATCTCAATTTTAGGGGCACTGAGTGCCTTTAAAACCAGGTTTAAGCTGGATTTAGGGGGCAGAGTAAAACCAGTTTCAAGCCCCATTTGGGGTGCAGAGTAAAACCAGTTTTAATCTCGATTTTGGGGGCACTGAGCACATTTAAAACCAGTTTTAGGCTGGATTTAGAGGGGCAGAGTAAAACCAGTTTTAATCTGGATTTTGGGGGCTCTGAGCACATTTAAAACCAGTTTTAGGCCGGGTTTAGGGCAGAGCAGCCCCTCGCCTCTGGGATTTCTGGGAAGCTGCCACGGACTCAGCTCCATCTCCTGAGGATCCAGAATTCCAAACAAATTCCAAACAAATTCCAAACAAACTCCAAACAAATTCATCTCCGGCTTTTCCATCCCGAGGAGCTGCTTGGAACCTTCTGGAATTTGGATTTTTTGGACAAAAATCCGCTTGGATCCTCCTGAAATTTGGATTTTTTGGACACAAATCTGCTTGGATCCTCACCTGCTTAATTCTGGATTTATTTTTAGAGACAAATCTGGGTTTTTTTTTGCTCCTGAAGGATTTTACACCTTGATCCTGACCTGGCTAATTTGGATTTTTTTGACACAAATCTGATTTTTTTTTATTGCTGACTGCTTGGATCCTTCTCACCTGCTGAATTCTGGATTTATTTTAGAGACAAATCTGGTTTTTGTTGATCCTGAAGGATTTTGCACCTGGCTCCTTGACCCCAACCTGGTAAATTCGGATTTTTGGACACAAATCCAATTTTTTTGTTCTGGATCATTTTCCTGCTGTCTCCTTGACCCCGACGTGGTAAATTTGGATTTTTTGGACACAAATCCGGATTTTCCTTGGTCCTGGATCATTTTCCTGCTGTCTCCTTGACCCCGACCTGGTAAATTTGGATTTTTTGGACACAAATCCGGATTTTCCTTGGTCCTGGATCATTTTCCTGCTGTCTCCTTGACCCCGACGTGGTAAATTCGGATTTTTTGGACACAAATCCACTTTTTCCTTTCTCCTGGATCATTTTCCTGCTGTCTCCTTGACCCCGACCCGGTAAATTTGGGTTTTCTGGACCCCAGTCGCCTTTCCCTGGCTGCCGCCATGCCGGGCCGCTGGCTGCTGCTGGCGCTGCTGTGCCACCAGCTGTGTCCCCGCGCGGTGGCCGCGGCCAGGAAGGACAGGAGGGGCAGGAAGGAGCAGCCAGAGCCCCCCAGCGCCTCCCTGGCCAACGGCGACGAGCAGCCCCAGGTGGGTTTGGGAGCATTCCTGGAGTTATTCTGGATTTTTGGGGATTTTCCTGCCTTTTCCCGGCCTCGTTTCATCCATTCCCTTCAATTTTTGTGTTTAATTTTGGTGGTTCCTCATGTTGGGAAACAGCAGGGAACTCCCAAGTTGGGTTCTGGGATCATTCCCAATGTTTTTGGGATTTTCCTGCCTTTTCCCAGCCTGGTTTCATCAATTCCCTTTGATTTTTATGTTTGATTTTTATGTTTAATTTTTACGGTTTCTCGTGTTGGGAAGAGCAGGGAACTCCCAAGGTGGGTTTGGGATCATTCCCAGAATGATCCATTCTTCTGTCCTCTGACCATCTGGGTGGGTTTTCCCTGGAATTTCAGGGGATTATCAGGGAATGGGAGTCCCAGCAGTGGGAAAAAGATCTCTGAGGGACTCAGAAAAAGATCTCTGAGGGACTTTTGGAGCTCTTGGCTCCTCCTGATCCCTCAGTGTCCTCCCAAAACCAGCCTGGGCTGGATTTTTGCATCCTTGACCATCTGGGTGGGTTTTCCATGGACTTTGAAGATCTCTGAGGGCCTTTGGGAGTTCTTGGCTCCACCTGATCCCTCAAGGACACCCTCAGTGTCCTCCAAAAGCAGCAGGAACAGCCATGGCTGGATTTTTCCATCCCCTGACCATCTGGGTGGGTTTTCCATGGAATTTAAAGATCTCTGAGGGACTTCTGGAGCTCTTGGCTCCTCAGGGACACCCTGTGTCCTCCAAGAGCAGCACCACCAGCCAAGGCTGGATTTTTCCATCCCCTGAACATCTGAGTGGGTTTTCCATGGAGTTTAAAGATCTCTGAGGGACTTCTGGAACTCTTGGCTCCTCCTGATCCCTCAGTGTCCTCCCAAACCCAGCCTGGGCTGGATTTTTCCATCCCCTGAACATCTGGGTGGGTTTTCCATGGAGTTTAAAGATCTCTGAGGGACTTCTGGAACTCTTGGCTCCTCCTGATCCCTCGGTGTCCTCCCAACCCCAGCCTGGGCTGGAGTTTTCCATCCCCTGACCATCTGGGGGGGTAATTTAAAGATCTCTGAGGGACTTTTGGAGCTGGATTTGGGGTCCCTCTGAGCAGTGAGTCCATGGCCATGTCCTGGCGTGTCCCCAGCTCGCGGAGGCCGCGGACGCGCGGCTCACGGACCCGCGCAGGACCTGGATCTCCTTCGTGCACCGCCCGGACGACGGGAAGAGCTCCAAGAGGAGATGCAAAGGGAAGGACAAAAAATTGGTAAAATTTGCACCCCGCGTGTCCCACGCTTCCCTTCCTGCTGCTCATCCTCTCCCCAGCCCGAACAGTGCTGAGCTTCCTTTTTTTGGGTTTAATTTCTCCATTTTTGGAGAAGTTTGATCCTTCTGGCTTCGGCAGAGGAGATGTGGGAATTTTCAACCAGCCTCTCTCAAACTGAGCCTTTTTTGGGTTATTTTCCTGCTCATTCAAAAGAAAATCCATATTTTTTTTTCTCCCTCCAAGAGATAAATCCAAGTATCCCAAAGGATAAATTAATCAAGGTGTGGACAAGTGGTTTATTTCAAATTAATGAGCTGAGTGACAGCTCATTAATCGTGTGGCACTTTTCATCTGTTCCTTGGACAATCTTGGATTCTTTTAATGATTTTAATTATTTGAGGATTTTTTTTGCATCCTCTGAAAGTCTGGGCAGCTTTTCCATGGAATTTTAGAGGATTTTCCAAGGAATGGGAGTCCCAGCAGCTGGACAAAGATCTCTGAGGGACTCTCAGAGCTCTTGGCTGCTCCTGACCCCTCAGTGTCCTCCAAAAATTCTCAGGAATTTTCTGGGAACAGCCCCCCTCACGTTGCTGATGTTCCTGTAGGATTTTCTGCAATTCCCAGGTTTTAATCCCAATTTTTCCTTTCTTTGCTCCCTCAGCGAGGCCTGGTGGGGCCTCCGGGGCCTCCTGGGCCTCAGGGGCCTCCAGGAGCTCCTGGGGCTGAAGTCACCAGGGAAGTTCTTCTGCAGGAGTTCAAGGAGATCTTGAAAGGTAAAAGATTTTAAAAAGTCACAGATTTTCAAAGGGTATTCAAGGTAAAGGGTAATAAAGGCTGGAGGAGCTTTGTCTTGGTGAAGAACCATGAACCAAAATGGCAACCAAAGATGTTCCCCCAGTGCTGCTGGGCTTTAACTGAAGATCCATGTGCAGGATTCCAAGCACACATGAATGGTTTCATAGGCCAGGCCCTTCAATGAAGATTTTATTTCATTTTATTTCATTTTATTTCATTTTATTTCATTTTATTGCCCTTTTCCCCTCAGAAGCCATCAAGCCTGGGGCCTCCCTGGTCCTTTTGGCCCACCCCAGCCAGCTGCCCCCACTAGGCTGGGCCCTTAACTGAAGATTTTATTTCCTTTTATTTTATTTCATTTAATTTTATTTTATTTTGTTTCATTTTATTCAATTTTATTTCATTTTATTTCCTTTTAATGCCCTTTTCCCCTCAGAAATCATCAAGCACAGGCCCTCCCTGGCCACCTCGGCCCACCCCAGCCAGCTGCTGCTGTCCCTGGAGGAGGTTCCACCACAGGAACAGGAATGGCCAGGCCCTTAAATGAAGATTTTATTTAATTTTATTCCATTTTATTCTATTTTATTGCCCTTTTCCCCTCAGAAGCCCTGGAGCACAGGGCCTCCCTGGCCACCTCGGCCCACCCCAGCCAGCTGCCCCCGCTGCTGCTGTCCCTGGAGGAGGCTCCATCACAGGCCAGGCCCTTAAATTTCGATTTTATTTAATTTTATTCCATTTTATTGCCCTTTTCCCCTCAGAAGCCCTGGAGCACAGGGCCTCCCTGGCCACCTCGGCCCACCCCAGCCAGCTGCCCCCGCTGCTGCTGTCCCTGGAGGAGGCTCCATCACAGGCCAGGCCCTTAAATTTCGATTTTATTTAATTTTATTCCATTTTATTGCCCTTTTCCCCTCAGAAGCCCTGGAGCACAGGGCCTCCCTGGCCACCTCGGCCCACCCCAGCCAGCTGCCCCCGCTGCTGCTGTCCCTGGAGGAGCTCCCGTCCCGGCGGCGCGTGGAGGAGGCGTTCCACTGCAAGCTCAAGGGCCAGGTGCTGGTGGACAAGAAGACCTTGGTGGAACTCCAGAATTTCCAGTCGGTGAGCAATTCCAGACTCATCCTGCTGGGGATCAGCTCCCTGCGTGGCTCTGTGGGGCTTCCTGCTCTGCCCAGAAACTCCTCTGGGCTGGAAGGAAGAGACACATCCAGGAGAAGGTGTCCAAAGGAGGGCCAGAGGTGGATCCACCTGGGATCCCCTTTTAAAATCCAGTATTCCTGATGGATCCACCTGGGATCCCCTTTTAAAATCCAGTATTCCTGATGGATCCACCTGGGATCCCCTTTTAAAAATCAAATATTCCAGAGGTTCTGCCACTGATGGATCCACCTGGGATCCCCTTTTAAAATCCAATATTCCTGATGGATCCACCTGGGATCCCCTTTTAAAATCCAATATTCCTGATGGATCCACCTGGGATCCCCTTTTAAAATCAGATATTCCAGAGGTTCTGCCACTGATGGATCCACCTGGGATCCCCTTTTAAAATCCATTATTCCTGATGGATCCATCTTGGATCCCCTTTTTAAATCCAATATTCCTGATGGATCCATCTTGGATCCCTTTTTTAAATCAAATATTCCAGAGGTTCTATCCCTGATGAATCCACCTTGCATCCCCTTTTAAAATCAAATATCCCCAAAGTTCTGCCACTGCCACTGATGGATCCATCTTGGATCTCCTTTTTCAATCCATTATTCCATTATTTCCCAAACTTTTGGCAGCTTGTCTTGGCAGCCAGGCAGGATCAGCCCTGAGGCATGGGCAGGGCTGGAGGGAGAGCTGCTGCCTCATTAATTAGCAGGGAAAATGGGACTAATTAAGCCATGCCAGCCGTGGGCTGCTGCTTCCTGTGCCTCAGGATGAGGTGCCCAACTCATTCCCGGTTTTTCCTGGCTCGGAGCTGCTGTGGCAGGCTCTGGGTGCCAAGCTGGCACCGCAGCCCGGGACAGGAAGAATCGGGTTTGGGCTTGTGCCCCCTGGGAGAGGGGAATGCAGAGCCAGAGCAGCTCAGGGGTTTGGGATCAGCTCTGGGATTTGGGATCAGCTCAGGGGTTTGGGATCAGCTCTGGGATTTGGGATCAGCACAGGGGTTTGGGATCAGCACAGGGATGGAGCCAGAGCGGCTCAGGGGTTTGGGCTCAGCCCAGGGATTTGGGCTCAGCCCAGGGCTGGATTTGGGCTCAGCCCAGGGCTCAGGGCTCGGGGCTCAGCCCAGGGCTGGATTTGGGCTCAGCCCAGGGCTCGGGGCTCAGCCCAGGGATTTCTCTCAGCTCTGCTCTCTCCACAGCCCCTGGCCAAGGGCGCGTTCCTGCGGGGCTCGGGGCTCAACCTGGCCACCGGCCGCTTCACCGCCCCCGTGGGCGGCATCTACCAGTTCTCAGCCAACGTGCACATCGGTGAGTGCTGCCCAAAGCCCCGGAGACCCCAAAGCCCCGGAGACCCCAAACCCCTGGAGAACCCCCAGAGGAGGCTCTGGAGGACGCCCTGGAGAATCCCTGGATGTTCCAGAGGTTCTGCCACTAATGGCCAGTGATGGATCCCCTTTTTAAATCCATTACCCCAGAGGTTCTGCCACTGATGGATGAACCCTGCTGGATATAATTTTAAATCCATTATCCCACAGGTGCTATCCCTGGTGGATCCACCTGGGATTCCCTTTCTAAATCCATTATCTCAGAGGTTCTGCCACTGATGGATGAACCCTGCTGGATATAATTTTAAATCCATTATCCCAGAGGTTCTATCACTCGTGGAACCATCTTGGATCCCCATTTTAAATCCATTACCCCAGAGGTTCTATCCCTGATGGACCCACCAGGTTCCGTCCCTGATGGACCCACCAGGTTCCATCCCTGATGGACCCACCAGGTTCTGCCCTGATGGATCCACCTGGGATCCCCTTTCTAGATCCATTATCCCAGAGGTTCTGCCACTGATGGATCCACCGTGGTGGATATAATTTTAAATCCACTATCCCAGAGGTTCTATCCCTGATGGACCCACCAGGTTCCGTCCCTGATGGACCCACCAGGTTCCATCCCTGATGGACCCACCAGGTTCTGCCCTGATGGACCCACCAGGCTCTGCCCTGATGGACCCACCAGTTCCATCCCTGCTGCCCACTGATGGATCCCCCTTGGATCTGCTGCCTTTGGCTCCATCAGATCAGAGGAACCTTCTGGCACCTCCTGCGGCCGTCCCGGGGCTGCTGGTGTCCCTGGGGAGCGCAGACCCCAGAACTGGTGGGGCTCTGACACTGTCCCCCTGTTCCTGCCAGACCACAGCGAGCTGAAGAGCAAAGTGCAGCTGCGGGCGCGGGACAGCGTGCGGGTGCTGATCTGCATCGAGTCCCTGTGCCACCGGCACACGTGAGTCACGCCGGGCCCTCCTTCTCCTGATCTGCCACATTCCCAGCACTTCAGCCACTTGGGCAGTTCTTTCCCTCCCGTTTCCCTCAGGGGGATTTTGGGAGCTTTTCCAGCAGAGGGCAAAGCTGGGCTCTGTGCTTGGCCCCAGATCACAAATCCCTGCCCAGGGTGGTTTTAATGCCCTGCCCTGAGCTCCTCCAGATATCCACAGATGCAGAAATGCAGAGATGCAGAAATGCACAGGTGCAGAAATCAGGATGGATTTGTGATGGAACCCAGAGAGATCAGGATGGATTTGGGGCAGATCCCTCAGGATGGATTTGGGACACATCCCAGGATGATCAGGATGGATTTGGAACAGATCCCAGATCCATCCACCCCCCCATCCATCATCCATCATCCATCATCCATCCATCCATCATAATTAAAAAAAAAAAAGGAGGAAAGTTGTTGATTTAGTTGGGAAAATAAGGAAAAGCCGGGCTCAAAGCTGAGTTTAACTGGGTGTGTGCTCAGTGGCAGGTGGCAAGTGGCTCCCACTTTTTATTTTTTCTGGAAAAAACCCATTGGGACTTGCAGGGATTCATCACTGGGAAAAAAATAATTTAAAAAAAAGGAGGAAAGGGGTTGGTTTAATTGGGAAAATAAGGAAAACAATGATGGGCAGGAATTCCATCCCTGATGGACCCACCAGGCTCTGCCCTGATGGACCCACCAGTTCCATCCCTGCTGCCCACTGACGGATCCCCCTTGGATCTGCTGCCTTTGGCTCCATCAGATCAGAGGAACCTTCTGGCACCTCCTGCGGCCGTCCCGGGGCTGCTGGTGTCCCTGGGGAGCGCAGACCCCAGAACTGGTGGGGCTCTGACACTGTCCCCCTGTTCCTGCCAGACCACAGCGAGCTGAAGAGCAAAGTGCAGCTGCGGGCGCGGGACAGCGTGCGGGTGCTGATCTGCATCGAGTCCCTGTGCCACCGGCACACGTGAGTCACGCCGGGCCCTCCTTCTCCTGATCTGCCACATTCCCAGCACTTCAGCCACTTGGGCAGTTCTTTCCCTCCCGTTTCCCTCAGGGGGATTTTGGGAGCTTTTCCAGCAGAGGGCAAAGCTGGGCTCTGTGCTTGGCCCCAGATCACAAATCCCTGCCCAGGGTGGTTTTAATGCCCTGCCCTGAGCTCCTCCAGATATCCACAGATGCAGAAATGCAGAGATGCAGAAATGCAGAGATGCAGAAATGCACAGGTGCAGAAATCAGGATGGATTTGTGATGGAACCCAGAGAGATCAGGATGGATTTGGGGCAGATCCCTCAGGATGGATTTGGGACACATCCCAGGATGATCAGGATGGATTTGGAACAGATCCCAGATCCATCCACCCCCCCATCCATCATCCATCATCCATCATCCATCCATCCATCATAATTAAAAAAAAAAAAGGAGGAAAGTTGTTGATTTAGTTGGGAAAATAAGGAAAAGCCGGGCTCAAAGCTGAGTTTAACTGGGTGTGTGCTCAGTGGCAGGTGGCAAGTGGCTCCCACTTTTTATTTTTTCTGGAAAAAACCCATTGGGACTTGCAGGGATTCATCACTGGGAAAAAAATAATTTAAAAAAAAAGGAGGAAAGGGGTTGGTTTAATTGGGAAAATAAGGAAAACAATGATGGGCAGGAACCAGCCGGGCTTAAAACTGAGTTTAACTGGGTTTGTGCTCAGTGGCAGGTGCCAAGTGGCTCCAACTTTTCATTTTTTAATCTGTTTATTTCTTATTTTTTAGGTCCTTGGAAGTCATTGCTGGCCTGGAAAGCAACAGCAAAATCTTCACTGTTTATGTGCATGGCTTGCTGCAGCTGCAGGTGGGGCCCTGGAAATTGGGAATTTCTGCCCCAAATCTCTGGGCAGGACAGAGATTCCTCCTTCTCCTTCTCCTTCTCCTTCTCCTTCTCCTTCTCCTTCTCCTTCTCCTTCTCCTTCTCCTTGTTCTTTGTCTTGTTCTTGTTCTTGTTCTTCTTGTTCTTGTTCTTGTTCTTGTTCTTGTTCTTGTTCTTCTTCTTCTTCTTCTTCTTCTTCTTCTTCTTCTTCTTCTTCTTCTTCTTCTTCTTCTTCTTCTTCTTCTTCTTCTTCTTCTTCTTCTTCTTCTTCTTCTTCTTCTTCTTCTTCTTCTTCTTCTTCTTCTTCTTCTTCTTCTTCTTCTTCTTCTTCTTCTTCTTCTTCTTCTTCTTCTTCTTCTTCTTCTTCTTCTTCTTCTTCTTCTTCTTCTTCTTCTTCTTCTTCTTCTTCTTCTTCTTCTTCTTCTTCTTCTTCTTCTTCTTCCTCGTTTTCTTCTTCTTCTTCTTTTTCACCTTCTCCTTCTTCTTCCTCTCCACCTCCTCCTCCTCCTCCTCCCTGGTTTGGGTGGTTTTGTGTAACGGGATAAAGAGCCCCCACTGCGGCCCATGGCTGGTTGATTATTGGGTTAAAAGTAATAATAATTAAGGTGTCATTTCCTAATTGGACACGTTGTCCTTATTTAGCCTTGCAGAGAGAGCTCCAGAGCTGCATTTTTGGTTTGCTGGAGTGCAGAACTCCCAGCTTGCAGCACAACAATGTCGATAAAACCCAGTCAGCATCTGAGTCCCAACGGGAAATCCCCTCTCACACACTCAGACACAGACCAGACCCCAGCCCCGCCGGTTCCTGCTGCTGGAAGGGGATTTCCTGCTTTTCCCCCCGGAAATTCCCATTCTTTTCCCGTTTCCCTGCAGGCTGGCCAGTACACCTCCATCTTCGTGGACAACGGCGCCGGGGCTGCCGTCACCGTCCAGCACGGATCCGACTTCATGGGAATGCTGCTGGGAGCCTAGCGCCAGCAGGGCCGGCCCCAATCCCAAAAATCCCGAATTCCTGACTTTGGGATTGAAAAAAAACCCCAGAAATCCCAAATTCCTGACTTTGGGACTGTGCTGCTGGAAGGGGATTTCCTGCTTTTCCCCCCGGAAATTCCCATTCTTTTCCCGTTTCCCTGCAGGCTGGCCAGTACACCTCCATCTTCGTGGACAACGGCGCCGGGGCTGCCGTCACCGTCCAGCACGGATCCGACTTCATGGGAATGCTGCTGGGAGCCTAGCGCCAGCAGGGCCGGCCCCAATCCCAAATCCCAAATTCCTGACGTTGGGATTGAAAAAAAACCCCAGAAATCCCAAATTCCTGACTTTGGGACTGAAAAAACCCAAAAAACCCGAATTCCTGCTTTTGGGACTGAAAAAACCCCAAAATCCTGAATTCCTGCCTTTGGGACTGAAAAAACCCAAAAACCCCGAATTCCTGCCTTTGGGACTGAAAAAACCCAAAAATCCCGAATTCCTGCCTTTGGGATTGAAAAAAAACCCCAAAAATCCCAAATTCCTGCCTTTGGGATTGAAAAAACCCAAAAATCCCCAAAATCCCAAATTCCTGCCTTTGGGACTGAAAAAAAACCCAAAAAATCCCAAATTCCTGCCTTTGGGATTGAAAAAACCCAAAAATCCCCAAAATCCCAAATTCCTGCCTTTTGGACTGAAAAAACCCAAAAATCCCAAATCCCAAATCCCTGCCTTTGGGACTGAAAATCCCAAATCCCGAATCCCGAATCCCTGCCTTTGGGACTGAAAACCCCAAAACCCCAAATCCCGAATCCCGAATCCCTGCCTTTGGGACTGAAAATCCCAAATCCCGAATCCCTGCCTTTGGACTGAAAATCCCAAATCCCAAATCCCAAATCCCTGCCTTTGGATGAACCCCCTCCCTCTGGCCTTGAAGTTCCTCCAGAATCGCGAATCCCCCCCGGCTCCTCCACTTTGCTCCCAGAAGTCGCTGCTGGTTTTGGAGCTCCTCACCAGCTCGTTCTTCACCACAATTCTGCTTTTTTCCCTCTTTTTACCCCCAAAACCCCTGGAATATTTAATTTTTGCTTCACGGAGCAGCACGCTGACCTTTGGGGCTCGTTCGTTGTAATTTGATTTTTCACCCTAGCACTTGGAACCAGCACGGGGTTGGGGGTTTTTTGGGGTTGGTTTGGGGTTTTTTGGGGTTGGTTTGGGGTTTTTTGGGGTTGGAAATGAAGGATTGAGCTGGGAAATATCAGAAATAAATCATGACTCCTTTCTGTGTGCTGGGGGGGAGGGGACAGGGATTTTCCAGCAAAGTTGGTTTTTCCAGGGGGTTGGAAATGGTTGGGATCCTCCCCAGGCTCAGAATTGGGTGCGTTTGACCAGGAAAATGTTGGATTTTTCCACAACCCAAGGAAGCCAAGCTTGAACTCTTTACTTGGGGTCCTTTGTAGCAAAATAAAATTCTATATATTATAATTATATGTTATATATTGTACATTTTATAAATATAATTATATATATTATTTTTAAATGCATATAATATATATAATTATATGTGTATATATGGTTTTCCATGGTTTATAACGAGTTTTCCCAGTTTATTTATTCACTGTCCCTCAAACCTGGAATCCTGAACTCCTCCCCAAACCAGGAATCCTGAATTTATCCACGAACCCAAGATCCCAAATTCTCCCTCAAACCAGGAATCCCAAACTGCCCCCAATCCCAGAATCCCAAACTCTCCCTCGGACCAGGATTCTCAAACTCTCCCTCAATCCCCAAATCCCAAAGTCTCCCCAATCCCCAAATCCCCCAATCCCAGAATCCCAAACTCCCCCAAAATCCCAGAATCCCCCTCAATCCTGGAATCCCAAACTCCCCCAATCCCCAAATCCCAAAATCCCCAAATCCCAAACTCCCCCTCAATCCCAAAGTCCCAAACTCCCCCCAATCCCAAAATCCCCCAATCCCAGAACCCCAAACTCCCCCTCAATCCTGGAATCCCAAACTCCCCCAACCCCAAATCCCCCGATCCCAAGCTCCCTTTTCATCCCAAACCTGAGCCAGCTCCCCCATCCCGGGCCTTGCTCCCTCTGGGACATTTTCCGGGCAATCAGGGACGGGAGCAGAAGCGCAGGAATTCTCCCAAAATTCCCTTTTTTGTTGTTTCCAGGGTTTGATTTTCGTTTCCTCCCAGCTTTGATTTTCCTTTGTCCCTTTGATCTGCAGAGCACGAGGGGACGGAGGCGAGGGGCGGTCACGGGTATTGGATTCCCAAAAAAAATAAAATAAAACCTGGAAAGGGGAAAAAAATGGGAAAGCAAAAGTGAAAAAGGAAAATCCAAGAGTGAGGGGGACGTGGGCATTCCCTGCGATATTTTGGGAGTTTTTCCACCCAAAAATTGGGGCCCAATTCCAGAGCTGGAACCTCACTTTGATCCCTGGGTGTGGGGCTGGGAGAGATCCCTGGAAAATTCTGCTCCTGCTCCTGGGAATTCCAGGTTCTGGGTCGGAATTTGGGGGGAATTTGGGGGAGTTTGGAGAATTCTGGGTCCCAAATCTCGACCTGTGTGTGCAAATCCAGGTGTGAATTCCCAAATCTCGACCCGTGTGTGCAAATCCAGGTGTGAATTCCCAAATATCGATCTGTGTGTGCAAATCCAGGTGTGAATTCCCAAATCTCGACCCGTGTGTGCAAATCCAGGTGTGAATTCCCAAATATCGATCTGTGTGTGCAAATCCAGGTGTGAATTCCCAAATCTCGACCCGTGTGTGCAAATCCAGGTGTGAATTCCCAAATATTGATCTGTGTGTGCAAATCCAGGTGTGAATTCCCAAATATTGATCTGTGTGTGCAAATCCAGGTGTGAATTCCCAAATCTCGACCCGTGTGTGCAAATCCAGGTGTGAATTCCCAAATCTCGACCCGTGTGTGCCAATCCCAAGTGGAAAAGTTCCCCGGGGCAGGAGCCGGAGCTGCGGGGCAGGCGCTGAAGGATCTGTCAAGTGGAATTCCAGGAGAAGTGGGAACTGCCAGAAATGGAGAGTCTGGAATGTGCCTAAAATAAATATTCCCTGCCGGGTGTTTATTTTGTCTGGAGGTTCCTGCTCAGGGCTGCAAATCCCGGCCTCGGGATTCTCCAGGGAATCCAGGTGCATTTGGGATTTGTGTGCTGCAAACCTCGCCTCGTTCCCGCATTCCCTGCAGGATGGGGCTGGAATTGTGCTGGGATCCCAAAAGGATTCAGCTGGGACAGAATTCCAGGGAATTCCTCAGGGAAGCAGCTGAGAATCCTTGGAAAAGTGTCCAGGGGGGATTTAATTCCCTGCCTCGGGATTCTCCAGGGAATCCAGGGCCTGGCATCGTCCTAAAGTGGATTTTGGGATTTTTGTGCTGCAAACCTTTCCCTCAATCCCTCCTTCCCTCATTCCCTGCAGGATGAGGTTGGAATTCTGCTGGGATGCTGTGGGATCACATCCAAGTCCAGCTGCCCCATTTGTTTTTGTGGATAAAAGCCCCAAAATTCCCTCCAAAAATCCCACTTTGGGAGCACAAATAATTGATCATTGCATTAATAATAAATCCCAATATTTGGGTTTATTCCTTTTCCTTCCCAAACCTTTGGTTTCCCTGAAGGAATCCCTTTTTCTTTTTGGGATTTTTTTGGTGGGTTTCTTGGGGTTTTTTGGGTGGAATTTTGGGGGTTTTTAAAGATTTTCTTTCTGGTTTTCAGCTCCTTGCTCAGCGCTCCCACCAGGACACATCTCCTGGCTTTCCTGGCTTTCCTGGATTTCCTGGATGGAATTCCAGGCTGTTTTCTCCCATCTGGAATCCAGACACCCAGAGCAGGTGTTCCCACTAATCAGAGCCTTCCAGATGTTCCCGGCCTCGGGGTGTTTGTCTTACACAGGCAAAATCCCAAAAACTCCCCTCCAAATCCCAAATCCAAGAGGGAAACCCCATCCCTGGGACTGGCTGTGTACTCCGAAGGGATCATGGAGCTTTTCCCAATGGATCATGGAATGGATCATGGAGCCTTTTCCCAATGGATCATGGAGCCTTTTCCTAATGGATCATGGAGCCTTTTCCTAATCAATTGTGGAGCCTTTTCCCAATGGATCATGGATTGTTTTCCCAATGGATCATGGAATGGATCACGGACCCTTTTCCCAATGGATCATGGAGCCTTTTCCTAATCAATTGTGGAGCCTTTTCCCAATGGATCATGGAGCTTTCTCCTAATGGATCACGGAGCCTTTTCCCAACGGATCCCATCCCAATTTCCCAATGGATCCCAGCCCCTTTCCAAAACGGATCCCAGCCCCTTTCCCTAACAGATCCCAGCTCTATTTCCCAATAGATCCCAGCCCCTCTCCCCAGTGCCAGCGAGCTCCCCTCCATTCCAGGAAGTCTCCATGCCCAGAACCCCGGTGATCCCATCCCCATTTCCCAATAAATCACAGCCCCTTTTCCCAACGGATCCCAGCCCCTTTCCTGGTGGATCCCAGCCCCATTCCCCAGTGGGTCCCAGAAGTCCCCATGCCCGGAACCCCGGGGATCCCATCCCCATTTCCCAATGGATCCCAGCCCCTTTTCCCAATGGATCCCAGCCCCATTCCCCAGTGGGTCCCAGAAGTCTCCATGCCCAGAACCCCGGGGATCCCGTCCCCACGGGGGTCCAGGGCCAGCCCAGCCCCTCTCCCCAGTGCCTGCGAGCCCCCCTCCATTCCGGGAAGTCTCCATGCCCAGAACCCCGGGGATCCCGTCCCCACGGGGGTCCAGGGCCAGCCCAGCCCGGTCCCCGCTCCCGGGAGCGCGGAGCCCCCGGCTGCCGTCCCGTCCCGTCCCGTCCCGTCCCGTCCCGTCCCGTCCCGTCCCGCTGCAGTTAATTCCCTAATAGCCGCTCTCCCCAGCCAGGCTGGAGCCAGCCCCGCAGCAGCCCCTGCCATCAAACGCTCCTCTGTGCCTGTGACACTGGCGCCTTTGATGGAGCAGCCCGGGACGGTTCCAGCAGCGGGGATTAAATA